CATTTCTGTGTTGGTGGAGAGTGAGGGGAAGACAAGAGACATATCTAGAAATTTCCCTTTAGTTAGTCAATGGACAGGCATCTTCAGGGAACTCCCAGGGCTTTTGGGGTGATTTCTGGGAGTGGAATTGGCACTGTTATTCACAGGGAACAGAACAGAATTCTGACCTTTGTAATAACTACAACAACAACAACAACAAGAGTTTCAATGGTGCCACTTTGATTTACACCATTGTTACAGGATGCCTGCCCTCCTATATAAATTCTGTCTTGAATAAAAGTGTTCAGAATGTGATGGAAGCATATACCATTGTTTCCAGGCTGTGCAAAATGGCAGTTTCATATGCATGTGATATTTTATTAGATTTTATTAGACATGGATGGTTTCTAAGGTATAAAGACAAAGGAACTGAGATGAGTGTGTTCAGCAAGCCTGCATTTTGTACAAAGCTAGTGAACAAGCTCAAAGACAAATGCAAGTAACACACCCATTGGGAGCAGATAGTATGCATATATTACCAAAAATAAATACCATTATACGGAACAGTGGTAAAATCAACCGATCTCACAATTACAGCTGAAGATATGGTGGCGAAATACACATTTCTGGCCAATGTCCAGCACTGGCATTATATAGTGAAGACGTGGAAGGAGAAATAATTATGCTAGAGTTTGCAAACACTCAGAGAAGAGGAAGGCCATGCAGGTAAATAGTAATACTGATCTATACAGCAGTTCAGACGGTGATATATCCTATCTCCATGACATCAAAACCACACATTCTAAGACAGCAGGCTGGCTGGTTAAGCTTCTGTTGGCACCTTATAAATAAATGTTGAATTTTTGGCTGAGGCAAGAAACTGAATGCCAAGTAGTGTGCATCTGTAAAAGGAATATGTTATAAAATCTTTCTCAGTATCATTGAAGACAGAAGTAGAATTATCTCTAAAGAAAACCAAGTGAAAATAGTGATGACATCACTATCTTATTTCCTCACATGGATAGGGGGTACATACTTCAGACAAAAAACTAAGGGAAAGAATGCCTACTCAGATTGCAGGTTGCACACTCCAGTCAGAAGCCTCTCTGTTCAGCCAACAGTTGTAGTAAACACATAAAACACATCACAGATCACACATTCTTTCAGTGCAGAAGGTACAGAAAACTAGCTTAGGGACAGACACAGTATGACATATCAAAGTACACAAACTCTCAAAGTTTACAGTAATGTCTTTGAACAACTTGGATGTCTCCTAGGCCTACTGAATGTCATAACAGATTAACTAATCCAGGCAGTACAACTTCTGGATAGGCTGCAAGTACATATAGTTTGCATCACATCAAGAGAAGAGATTGTAGAAGTAAAAAAGAAAAGAAAAGAAAATGGCACCATTCTCAACCTGGCAAAATGGAAGAAAACTGTAGCCACAGAAAAGTGGAAAACTTCATGTTTGCATAAATCTAATCAAGTCAAACAGGGCATTACTGAGGGCTCTCTATTAAATGCCCAGTACTGAAGAAATCTTATTTGATCTTGCTTAGGCAAACAATATTTTCTGTGCTGGATGCTAAAGACAGATACTGGCAAGTTTTATTGAATGAAGAAGGCAGCTATTTTACTACTTTTTGGATCCCAGAAGGCTGTTACAGATGGCTGAGGATGCCTTTTGGAATAAAACCAGTGGCAGAGTATCAATGCCGCCAACGGGATGCGTTGGCAGGCCTCACAAGGATAAGTGTCATATCAGATGACATTTTAGTATATGGATGTGGAGACACCATGCAGACAGCTATAGCAGATCATGACCGTAATCTCATCTGTCTCTCAAAAAGGGCCAGAAAAGTCAATGGAAATCTTGACAAAATTAAAAATGAGCCTATGTCTTAAGCAGTATACTACATGGGATGCTCAAGTTTTGCAACTACAAACAGAAAAGGTGAACAAGTGCCCCAAACTTCCAATATCACATCTCTATAACAGTTGGCAGGATTTGTTGACTACCTTATCAAATGTGTTGTTCACCTTACAGATGAGGCTTCATCTCTGTGTAAGGTCTAGTTTATGGGCCAGATATGTACAGCAGGTCTCTCAATCCAGATTTCTGAATTCTACCTAGGGCACTTCCTCCACATTAGTCTGCTCTGAATTCTTAGTATTATTCATACCAGTTACAAAGGTAATGGAGTGAACCCTGCATATACTTGGGAAGAAGTATATTTGAATGGTTTTCTTCCATTGTGTTTTGACTGAAGGTAAGTCATACTTGCTGTTCATTGGGCTCCTACCCTGGCTATCTTAGGGCCTTATCACATTACAAAAGAAGGATGAGAGCATTGGATTATGACTCTGGAGACCAAGATTTGAATCTTCATTTGGTCATGGAAACCCACTTGGTGACCTTCGGCAAGTCACACTCTCTTAGCCTTAGAAGAAGGCAAAGGCAACCCCCCTCTCAACAAATCTTGTCAAGAAAATCCCTTAGGGTTGCCATAAGGTGGAAATAACTAGAAGGTACAAAGCAACAACATCATATCTTTAATTCACTTATGCAGTATTGATGTTAGTGTGTGAGCTCTTATGCTGGTTTTCATCATACTACTGAACTTTCTTATATTTAATGTTAAATCTGAATACATAAATATTTTAGAGTCACTACTATTAGTAGTGTTGCTGAACTCTTCCTATTCCATTTTAATGTGAAAACATAGTGAACTTTATCGACCACAATGTTTGTGATCTTCCTAGATGTCAAAATTGTTCTTGATGAGTAAATGACCTCATACATATCTGCCCAAGATGGTTGTTTATCAAGAAAAGGCCCAAATGACTTCTTGCAGTACACTCTAAATGTGCTGCTTCTCAATTAGTTAAAGGAAATAAAACAATTTTTGTATGTGGTGTAAGCCTATTTCTTCTATCCTATTATCTGTTAATGAATTTATTAATTCATTTTCATAGGAATCAATTAGATAAATGGAAGAAGCCCTTTAGATTACCACACTCATCTTTTTAATCACAGGATACACTGTAGTCCTCAGATAGCATATGGCTTAGATGCTGAACTGATTGTGAACTTGATCTTAGCCAAATGTCTCAACACCGTTGGTCAAAGCCACATCTGTTGCCTAAAGATTAGCTTGCATTACAAACTTGTTCCAAAGGAGCAATATTATTTTGGATATGGCCAAAAGGCAAATCACATTTCACTGTTGGGTATATAATAGTCTGATGATGAAAAGGTCAAGGTCACAAAGACATATTAAATATCAGCATTTGTAACCAAAAGTTATTGATAAAATCCTGGAGTATTTTTAAAAATAAAACCTCAAGGAAAACAATTTTAAATGGACTGAAATCCTGCATTGGATTTGCAGGGTTTTTTAGTGCCTCTGCAACTTAGGGCCTCTATAGACCAGCCCAAAGGGCTGGCCTCGAGGCAGGGATGGGGAGGGGCAGTTGCACGCTGGGCACTCCAACCCCACGCCGAAGCCATCCTGACACCATGCGCTGTTATGCATGGCGTGCAGCATCAGGACATACTTCCGGCACAGTGTTTTGATGCACTGCACCAGAAGGGGCACTAAAGAGCCATGCGCTGGCTCTTAGAGTGCCCTTTTTGCCGGCTCTGAAAGGAGCAGCATTTTGCTGCTCCTTTCTGAGGTGGCAAAAGGGAGAATTGGGGCCGAGGTGTTCAGCAGCCTCGGTCTCGATCCTCCGCTTCCCAGGGTGGCCCAGGGCTGCCCATCTGCATCCCCCCTTAGTTATGTATGCATAAAAAGTTACATTAAGTAAAAGGTGATATAGGATTCAGATGGTTGTAATTAAAAGAATGAATACACTGAACAGAATGGGAAAGGAATTATATCTTTCAGGTAAAGCCCTGCAAAACTCCCACAAATCACTCTTTTTGAGTTTCAGTAAAGGCACAGTAGACATCTCATGTTGTGTGTATTACTTGTGAGTGATAGCTTGGAGAGGGAGTAGATAACATGAGAAGCTTGTTGTTTTGGCAATCCAGTGCCCCCCCTCTGTGTTTGGTATTGCTGATGTACTCTTATAGAATGAGGCTGCTATTTAATTGGTTGGAGAGGTGTACTGGTTACTGTACTCTCTTCAATTCTACTCTGTGGAATTCTTCACTCTCTGGCACAGAATCTTTAAAGGGCCACACATTGGAAGGTACTTTGGCAATCCAAGTACTGTTTTTTCCCCCTGCATCTGATTCATGAGAATCTACAGAGTACAAATGATGACAAAAATAATAGGAATATAAAAAAGATTATTCTCTTGATGAAGACATGACAGATATCTTATGTGAAGAAATTCAAAAAATGAAATTGAAAATAATTAGGCTGATGGATTAATCAATCAATCAGTCAAATTGCTCTTTTACTTTATCTTTCTTAGCTCAAACATAGGAAGCTGTTTTATACTCAAGCCAGACCACTGGTCTTCAGCATTGTCTGCATAATTGGCAGATAGAGCTGTCAGGTCAATAGGACCCCAATATCTGAGAAAAAGTGTTTCTGTGTGATATATTGGGTAACAAACACTTGTGATGTCACAGAAGCAGGGTAGGCAATGGTTAGCAGGTGGGCCAGAACTGCTTGTCTGTCTGATGCTTTTGAAATGAGGGACTATGGGCCTCGGCAGATGACTAATTGGGTCATCTTGGAGGCCCCGAAGAGGAGGGGCAGCCGCACGAGCGGTGCCCCTTCCTCTTCCTGAGGTCGCCCTGGAAGCTTCCAAGGCAACCTCCCTCCACTGCGGAGGATAAGTCAGGGAAAGTGCGCCCTACGTTTTTAGGGTGCACTTTCCCTGACTTATGAAAGGAGCACCAATTTGGCGCTCCTTTCAGGGACGCTGTCGGAGCGCCGCGGTGGGGCTGCCATGGCCCCGCGGCGTTCCGGACCAGGGCGTCCTGGACGCCCTGGTCTGCATCCCCCCTATGGGTCCAAAATTTGGGTAAAACCCAGTTAACCAAGTAATACAGCAATCCATCCAGTGTGGTATAGTGGTTTGAGCATCGGACTACAACTCTGGAGACCAGGGTTTGATTCCCAGATTGGCCATGAAACACACTTGATGATCTTGGGCAAATCATATGCTTTCAGCTTCCTCTGAACAAATTTTGCCAAGAAAACCCCATGATAGGTTCACCTTAGGGTTGCCATAAGTCAAAAATAACTTGAAAGTACACAACAACAACATGGCAACCAAGAGTGAGGAGAAAGCATTTTTCAGTGTCTGCTGAGGTGAAAAATGTGTTTAGTTGCTGTAGTAGTTGCCACCATTCTGATGATGTCTTGCATCCCTGGAGCATTATCTTTTACACAGGTGGGTAATTTCCCAGGTCCCATGTCACTGCTGAGGCTTGTGAAGTCTTACCATTAGACTTCTGGGAGTATTTTTATAGGCCCTACACAACTGCTTCCAGGGCCTGTACAAGAGGAAGACCCATGAGTTGTAATTCTGATACTCCTGTGTCTTGCTCCAAACTGCACTATGGCCAGGGTGCATGTACTCACCAACTTTCTCCTCTCACTTCTGGCTTTTTGTTGCATATATATTGCACAAGCACAATACAGATACAAAATCTTTGTGTGGAACTTAAGAACCTTGGGATTGACTGGGAATAGTTAGAAATGTGTACCTGAGCTTTAAAGTTACCTCACATTTGTTGCTCACCCTGAGATTTGTCTCTGCACCTGGAGAAGCTCTACTCACCATAGTAATATGGCCTCTATGAATGAATTCTGGTCCAGCCCTTTCAACTTTGCAGAAGCATGTGGTGGGATGTGAAAAATCATGAGTGGGCATATTGTAGCCTGTGAACTGCATGAAGCATCTAAACACCACTTTTGCTGTTCCAAAGCACCCCAGAACCCTGTACTATCCCCAAATGCCTATGGTTTCATTTGCAGTGGCTCTCAAAATGGCAAGAGGAAGTGACACACTATCACCTTCTGTCACCATTTTGAAAGGGAATGCAGAGAGTGGAGGTAGTTGGATTTGTTGGGGCTGGATGTGGTCCATGGGACCGGGGGGGATGATTTGCCCCTGCCCCCTCCCACAGTTGCCCATCCATCTAATAAATGTGTAGGGGGTTTCCTTGGTGACTGTTTCCAGGTGCTGGAAGTCCCTGATTAGTAAGACTTGGTTTCCCCTTTTTTTGTTTTACCATCAACAGCAAGAGATGGCCTTGCTTGAAGTACAGGAGACTTTCTAACCCTATGTGTGTGTGTTTAATTGGCATGGTTTAAAACTGTGTTCTACATTTTGTAGGATTTTATTCTTCTAGGTTCTCATTGTACTTGTACTTGCATTCTAAGCTACCATGAGACCCATTTGTGGGGCAAAGGCAAGATATTAAACATATAAATAATTAAATGCTGTTGCTATTTGTTTAGTATATACACTCCTCTTTCCCTATTCACAGACCTGTCATCTTTGGCTTTGGTCCTTCACAGATGGCAAGTGAGGAGGGACAAAATGGCACACATGTGGGAGCGCATGGCCATTACAACCTATGGGGCTTGAGTATTTGCATTTTTTCTGATTTGCATGTGTGTGTGTCCAGAATGAATCCCCCACAAATCGGGAGGGATGAGTGTACACATCTTGAGCCTTATATGTGCCCTTGCACCATTCTTTCTATGGGAAGCATTGGCACTTCATCATTAAGGTAATTAATTAGGGTATATTCAGGAAGGTGTTACTATAATCCTATGCGAAAACATCCTTCTGCTCTCACATCACCATGTACTATGTGACAGATGGGAAAAAACTTTTTTTATTATTTTGTTTTTCTAAGCTGTGGAAGCTGCAGATTGATATGGTAGAAAGAAGGCAAGCCTTGCAGTCACATGCCCTTGGAGACGGCTCTTCAGTTAATGACAGAAGCCATAAAACTGGCCTACAGAACTTACCTTCTGAGTTACCATGTGATGTCTGAAAGGATTTCCTCCCCCAACATGCCCTTGGTAACCTCTAAGCGGGGGGGGGGGGAGAGAAAAGAGTGAGTCTGGCACTTTTTAATGCTATTCAAAGAACAAAAATATTAGTAGAACTGAAAGATACTCTAAAGGTCAGATAGGCCAATTGCATGCTCTAAAGCAAGATAACCTGGTCTACACTGAAAGAAGCTATGACAGATGCCTCTCTTCAGGAACCCTGAAAGGAGAGAAATTCCACAATCATTTTTTAAAGATGCAATCTGTTCTGTTGCTTAAATGCTCTTAATAGTTAAGGAAAGTGTCTGTTTGCATCCAAATGTTTGGCTTTAAATCACAGGATGGTATGTTCATTATTCATATTATGCCCTCAGTAAGATACAGTTGACCATATTAAGCTCACCTCATTCTAATGCCATTTTAAATCCTTTTCATTACACAAAAACTGCTGAGAGTTCCACCCCTTACTTTATTATTCTATATGTAGAGAGATCTTGCAGCATCTTTGAGACTAAAGAAAGAAGTTGGTAGCATGAACTTTCATAGACTCAAGTCTATGAAAGCTCATGCTGCCAACTTCTTTCATTAGTTAGTCTATTTACTATTCTAGTCTATTTACTATTCTAGATTAATTCAGACCAATGAAGAGACATCTCAGAGAACCTTTTTTTGGACTATTTCTCATTAGAATATATTGTGTATGGATTTAAGAGGTGATTTTTCAACATATAGTAGAGGTTTTGGACTTCAACTTCCATAATTCTTGCTATTTGGCCATGCTGACTGGGGCTCCTGGATTCTGTGGTCCAAAATATTTGGAAGGTCAAAGGTAGAATAAGTGACTGCCCCCTCTTACAAGCATATTCTCAGAGTGGCTGCTTAGTTCTTCGAATACAGCTTGAGTCACAGTGACTTCTTTTTATTGCTTAAAAATCTCCTCAGGCTTGATCATAAAACAGACCTTTTAATTACCTTTAATTCCCATTCAAATGCTTTATTTATTCATCAATAAATAACAATTACAGAAGGATGGAATAATTAGCCATCTAAGCTAACAGTTTTCAAAGTGAAAGGATATCATCATGAGGCAGCAACTTTGGGATGTCTTCCAAAAGAGGAGCTCAGGGGCAAATTAATCCTATTCCTGCTGCAGTTGTTGCAATGGAAGAAGAGCAATTACAAGATCAGCTATTGGACAGTCATTTCTAATTTCCTTTAGTTATACAAGAAGGCCCTTTGACACACATTGTTTCATGGGCCAAGAACAAAGAGCTAACTGAATTATTGCCCCTTCTCTATTCCTAAGAAGCCCCTCCTGATCTGTCTTGTCCTCAAAACAGAAATTAGGAGCCAAAGAATTTTGATCTTTTCATATTTCTGTATGAAATGAGCAGCTTTCAGATAATTGTGTAGATTGGAATTTAACTGGGTTCCCCCAGTTCTCTGAAAGTTATGATGCAGATCTCAGAAATTTAAATACATAAAAATATTCATTTTTCATATCAGGATTTACAGCTATCCTGGTTCAGGTAGTGTTCTCCTTGAAGACTCAACTGCATCACTGGAAACTTAGGTTGATCACTAACTATGGCTGCTGCCCACACTGCAGAAATAAAGCAGTTTGACACCACTTTACCTGCCATGATTCAATGCTATGAAATTCTGGGATGTGTAGTTTTGTGAGATATTTAGCCTTCCCTGTCAGAGAGCCCTGGTGGCACAACAAACTATAGATCCTAGAATTCCATTGCAATTGAGCCATGGCAGCTAAAGCAATGTCAAACATCTTTATTTCTCCAGTGTGGCAGCAGTCTATGCCCACCTCTGGATAAAAATAGTGATGAATTGGTTGCTTCACCATTTTATTTCTGTAACAGACATTGTATGGAGCTTCCCTTTTGCCTAGTTTGGGAATGGTACCTATTGCAGCATGCAGAAAGTGAGCTCCACAATGGCGTAACAAGCTATATACACTTTATTTCTTTGTTGAAGGTACTGCAGTGCATGCCTGTTAACCACTGAGCCACATTCCTTTTTTATTGCTGATATATAAAGTCATAAATACCATACAACTAGAATATCTTGTAGGCTGACTTCTTTACATATGTCCAGTTGATCTCTCATGTCATTAAAAGAGGACTTATTGGTTGTTCCACAACCAATGGGATGCCATCATGAGGCATTGCAAAGGAGGGCCTTCCCAGTATCAGTTCTGGAACAAGGTCTAAATGGCAGGACTGTAGTATGAAGTATTAAATGCCTCCTGAAACCATTCCTGTTTATGCAGGCCTTTGTCAACTAGTGACATTTGCTCTGTTTTTCTCTGTAAATGTGTAAATGGTCTCTAAAAAGCATTTAGTATATTTTAAAATTGTTTTAAAAATGGTTTGCATTGTTTTTGTCACAAAAGCCATTTATTGATCAAGCAGTGTCCAATAATAATAATATAATAATAATTTTTATTTATATCCCGCCCCTCTG